ATCCATTCCACATCTCACTCCTCAAATTACACAACAACAACAAGTTTCCCTCACAAACACGGATTCCTCCCCCTCCAATTGAACTCGACGGAGAACCAGAATACAATCTCGACAAAATAGACGATTCTCGATTGCCACTTCTTCCACGGTCACCTCCAATACCGAGCCAAGTGGAGAGGATATTTGCCTGAACACGATAAAACTTGGTACTTCTCACACAACTTTGAACACATACAAGATGCCATCTCAACCTTCCACCAGCGATACCCAGGCAAGCCCGGCCCATATGACGATCACGTTCAACCAAGACAAAGGCGAGGGAAAGGCTCCTACGCCATTGTAACAACACGAAGGCTGGAGTGATAGCCCATGCCAAACCACACCCACTAGCCCGAATACTCATTCATGGAGCTGACTGATAAAGAACTCAAGAAAAGGGAAACACAAGCACAGCATAACGCTATGTCATGGACAGTATGCTATGATGATGGTTGCCAAACACATTTTGGCAACAAAGAAGGCTCGGGATGGTTCTCGAGGGAATGTCAAAAGCGTGGTCTACACCCGGACCACATTCTCAAGCATTGGCAACAATGCTTCAGAAATGGGTGCAGGATACACAGGGTACAGAAAATATCTGCGGGATTGTACCCACAGAAGGATGGAAGCAGGAAAGAGTTGGAAGGAGAGGATGCCAGAAAGGCATGGGCCACGAGGATGGGGTCCAGGGAGAGAGGAGCCCAAAACTCCTCTGCAGACATAGAACAGGACGTCAGGAGCCTACACAGGCAGATCTGGGGACTCCGAGAACAACCTGGCCAAGCCGAGGCTCCAATTTCGGCAAACGACAAAACGATCGCGGAGCTCAGACAGCTGAACAATAATCAGCGACACATGATCGAGATGGCAAATCTGACTCTAGAATCGGTAAGGGTCAGATGGAGGACGGCAGACGAAAAGTTCCACAAGCTGAGAAGGACCATGCACTCGGCAGGATGGGAACTATTGAAAATGGGAGAAAAAGCCTGATGGGACTCAGGCTTAGGAGGAGGGGAGCTAATGTCACGAACGTGGCTTGGCATGAACGAGGCTTTCACATGATACATGTTTATGAGTCACAGGTATGTCATTTTTTTACACATATGACTCATTCGGGTCATATAATTTGTTATGTGTAGGATTTGTGATGCTTTCGCACATGGCTCAAATATAAGTCATGGGACGTGCACCTAGCGAGTATGCCTTACGAGTATGCCTTGCGGGTAAGCCTTGCACATATGATTTATGTTTCACACATGGCCTCGTTATGAGGTCATGGGTTTTGCACATATGACTTAGTCGAGTCATATGACTTGTTTATTGTGTTATGATTAGTTTATGAGTTTTTGTACATGACTTCGCTATGAGGTGATGGGTTTTGAACATGTGATCACTTTGGTCACATGATTAGTTTGTTATGATTTGGTTTCGCACATGTGACCACTTTAGGTCACATGACTATGGGCGGGAAGGATAACATATAAGGAGGCCAATGTGGCCGAGAAAGATAGGTTCTTCATGCTTTGTTCCAAGTACTTTTCCTACTTATTACTTTAACAAATATAAAACACTCTTACAATCTTTATCTTTATTGCAACATTATCATTATGCCAAGGAAGGTTCTTCACGAAAACGGGTTAGAGAAAGCTTATGATAGGCGTTCCCGATAGAAGACAAAGGTCTTGTACTATTGGTAACGTAGGCAGAGGCTTAGAGCTATCGTAAGACGAAGGAAGAAGAAGATAGAAACGAGAAGTATCATTCCCCGTCGCCAAGAACTAACTATCCAAAGAGGGATCATTACAGGTTACTTCTTTGTTCCTCAGTATACCCTCGAAGCCTCCTTTAGTTCTCAGCTTTCGCCTCCTCTCTAGAAGAGCAGGCCACCTGCCAACTATTATATATATTACCGATAACGTGATTAGCACATGGCGAACATGTTACAATTAGCATTTCACTCCTTCAAAATTTCAAACTCTTCTGTTCCTTCAATAACTACCTGTGCTCATCTGTGATCCTGTTTCAATTTCTTCAACTTGTTTTCCTCCGCAACCATTTTTCTCTAATTTTCCTTCTCTTGCTTAGTTTCTTTTTTCCAAATAAAACAAGGACCCCGATACCCGTAAGTCATACACACCCAAAACATAAGCTGTACTCTGGTAGGTTGAAACTGATACATATTGTAGTCCAATGGGTTTGAACCACAGGGACGGGAGATATTTGGAGGCCGGCACGGTGAACCAATCTCAACCCAAGTCTCATTGGAGTACACAAAACATCTAATTTTAATATATTAGTATTAATATAATAAATTAAATATACAGTCATATCCTGCTATTCCAGATGACCAAAATCAAATGAATTAGTTTGTTACCATAAGTAATGAGGAACAATATGTCAAGTTTTGCTGTAGAAATTTTTTGAATTTACAGCATTTTATATGGAACAGGGGGAGGAATCCATATTATTGAAATTAAGGACAGCAGGATTTGACTGTAAAAAAAAAAATGATTATTTACCTGAGATTCATACGAATAGCCCAGAATGCAAAGTTCATTCTACCTTCTTTATGGTACATGTTCAATGATGGTTTAGGCTGCGAGGGAGGAAATTGGTAAATATTGTGATGATTGTGCATCACATGTTCAATATAGAACAGGCAGCCTTACTGCCCAATTCTCTTACTATCTCCAGAAAGGTTTTTTGATATCCCGTAATCCCGTTATCTTGCAAGGCACTCCTCAGTACAAGTGACTTCTCAGAGTCTTCAGGTATCACTTCGGGCTGCCCAGGATGATTGAGGCTTTAAAGGACAGCATACAAGTTCCGGAAGTCATTCAGATCACTTGCTCGCTCCTATTTTATTATATACTTTTAGCTATTATACACTACTTTTGTTTCTGTCATATACCTTAGCTTTCTGACATATGCGACGTGCAGACTCGGGATGAACAAGAAGGCATTTTGAGATTTCAATCCAGGTTTTATAGGTAAATAAATGAAGAGTGAGGATTGTACAACACAACTTAAGTGAAATCTCTGCTGCTCCACTTGTACGTCCCATGTTGAATGTGTTTAGAGAAATTAAGAGAAGATATAAGGCAGAACTGGGGATGTCTGGTTGTTGATCCGAGTCTAAACTACAGTAACGATGATGGTGATTTTGTCGTTGCTATCATGCTGCTCTAAGGGAGAATTTCATGTGACCAATATATTAATCGGCGGCACTCGTACGATATATGGAACCGCATCACTCGGCTTGGCGCTTTGGAGACGCGAAATAATTGGCCCAATGATCACTACTATTAAGATACGAGAAGTGCTCGGCTTCAATTCAACTACGCGAGTATCTTACTTGTACATCACCAATGCCTTCTGAAATTTCTGCACACCCCTTTCTCTATCGTCCTCGTCCCAGACTCCCATCCCCCTGCGATACACCCTTCCTCATTCATAATGCACGATGAGCTATCACCTCCGCGAGTCCTATGTATTGTGTCACGGTTTACGCTTATTATTCCCCGCAGTGGTGGTAGTGCTGAACCTCAACAATACTGCTTGTTAAGGATAGCGGTGACCCCATCCTACTAGCAGCAGCACAACCGTTAGCAACCTAGCGCGGCTGCCGGCACACCGCGTGGGCTTGGGAATTCCCGGGATCCCAGAAAATATGTAGACCGCCAGAGCGAGCCAATAAACTATAGATAACCTAGCGAACGAGTCAATGTCAGTGGGTCCTAGAAATGCATAGTTCCCTAAATATCTAGGCCAGCAGGCGGCACTCGCGCTATTTCCCCACCACTAACTACCATTCAGTGGGGCACGAACCCCTTAGACTCCAGAAGCCTAAGCTGCAGGGCATCAAAAGGTGGTCCATCGGGCGTTTTTCCAACGCCAAATTATGATATCAGACTCCACTCTGTGGGGAGTTGAGCTCCCAATCTTTCCTGCTCACATTAGAAATCTCAAGTCCTTAGCCGTTAGAGCATAAGAGACGGGCGATAATTTCCTCTTCTGGAATCTAGATCTTGTGATATTAGTTGTGCAGGAATTTTTCCAAGATAAAGTATCGAGAGCTGCAAATGTTACATCTCACCGTATGAATATCCGACTTGGTCAGACGCTATCCCTCGGTCGATGAAGAAGCTACTCGCCCCCTTGAGAGTATTTATTGCTCCCAGCACAGCTATAGTTTAGCTATAGCAAGCTAGTTATTGGATCTAGCAAAACGAGAATACCTCTCTCAGAATTTAGCTGAAGCTAATACTGGCAAGTTAATAATATTTACCACAATGTCCGGAGGTGTGCCAGCTTCGCCAACGGATAGAGCCCAGGGGGCTTTTTTTTCCCTTCGATATAGCATTAGAGACGAGAGACGAGGAGATTCAAAAGTATCCGATAATTGTGCTCTCTGTGCTATAAAAATCCCTCCACAATTTCACCCAATGGGTACACGATTCGGTCTTCGTGAACCTGAGTGCAGTACCATGCTTTGGTGCCTACCTATAGCGAATACAGCGAACTCTCAGAAGGTACATTATCGAGGAGGCATATCACCGGGGCATCAGGGTTCTGAGGGTGAGATGATTCGGGGATGAGGTCGCTTTCGGACTCGGTAATTACCGTGATGATGGGGCAGAGGAATTGGTGTACAGTACTGTAAAATACGAGCATGTGTAGCTCTAATTCTAACGCATATTTTTAATTCTCGATTTTTCCCTTCTCCCACTCTCGATTTTGAGCCATCGTGTCCGGAGTATCATAATTATCACAACCTTCGTTTTTTCCCCTTGAGCTGTCCAAAGCTCGGGTTTTGGGTTCCTTGTTGAAAGATAAAGATCAAAGTCTTGGCGCGCCTCACCGATGCTCCCGATGCCAAGCCTAACCCAAACCCGGGCAGTCACATGCAACAAACTACGGTACAGGGCTGACGCACCTTGGCAAACGCTCCGAATTTCCTTGCAACTCGACGATACCCCTATGTCCTCCGCAAACCTCCTCCAAAACCGTACAAACAAAGAATATGCCTATTCGGCGATCTTCGAGACCTGCTTCTCCGATACTGCGATCCTCGTCTTCATCCCTTGAGAGCGAGAGCTATGAGCTTTCCAAGCGGATGTCAGCCCCCCCGGAGGAAGTTGCCCTGGAGGATGAGGAGGAAGATATAGAGGCGTCATCGCCTTCGCGTGGGCTGCTAGGCGATCAGGACAAGAATCACACTACGGCTGTATCTTCGCGCTGGCTTAAGTGGTGTGCATATTTGTCATCCTTGAGATTCTGTTATCGGCGGTGTGGGAATCTACGGCGGAGGTGCTGTCAGGTTTTGACGGTGCTGCTTTCGGCGGTAGGGCTGTTACTGGTTTTCACATTCGTTTTTAATCCGTCGTATACGAAGACTCAGTATCCGGAGAATTACGCTGTTGTTGCAGACGCTGTGCGGAATGGTGGTGGGGTGAACCCTCAAGAGTTTTGGCGCGGAAGAGGGAAGAAGGCTACAAAGTCGGGACGGGGAAATCCGGCCGGGGAGAAAGTTTTCATTGCGGCAAATATAATTGATGCGGGCTTGATCAATGGGGCTTGGGGAAATGCTGTTATGGAACTGATGGATTTGATTGGGGGGGAGAATGTATTTTTGAGTTTGTACCTCCTCTCCCCTCATCCCAAGGGGTTCTCGGATGCGCAATTCATTGACTCTGTTTCAAAAAGGTATTTTCGAGAATGATTCCGGATCAGAGACTAGAGCTGCCCTTGAGGATTTGGATAAGCTCATTGCGGAAAATATTCCTAAAGCTGGTCGATCGATTGTCTCCACTACACTGCCATTGACTGCTATTCCGAGAGTTAAGCTTCCCAATGACAAAACCTACATTAAACGAATAACATATCTTGCCGAAGTCCGCAATCGTGCCTTACTGCCGCTACTCGGTTACATTCCCTCTCTTGGGCGCTGGGGTATCACTGGGCCGCCCGAGATACCCAAGGCTCACAAACAGGTGCCTGGTGAAAATGAGAGTACAGAATGGGAACAGATACCAGAGAATATCGATCCTAAGGATGCCCCCGCACTCCCGGGGCGATGGGTGAAGGATCCACAGAAGTACAACAAAGTTCTATTTCTAAATGACGTTGTATTTGATCCTGTACAGGCACTCCATCTACTTTTCTCCACCAATCAAGGGAAGTACGAAACCGCCTGCGGAATGGACTTCATCAATCCCTTCAAGTATTAAACCCCACTTATCCATTGACTACTCTCTAATTTGTACTTTGTAGGTATTATGACACTTTTGCAACCCGTGATATTGACGGGTATAATTTGGGTGTCCCCTTCTACCCCTACTTTGCCCCGGGCAGGAGCAGGGAAGCCTTGCAAGGCGCCACCGATGCCGTGCCCGTATTGAGCTGCTGGGGAGGTATTGTAGCCTTCCAAGCGAAAGTGTTCACAAAGAAAGATCCAGTCCTATTCCGCTCCTCCAAGGAGCCCTACTGGGACGCTTCCGAGTGCTGCCTCATCCATGCCGACATCCATGCACCCAATGCAACATATATGAACCCGTACATCCGGGTGACATATGACTTAAGCACTTTTCGTTGGTTACCCATGGTTAAGCGAATAGAAAAACTATTTTCTGGGCCGCACTGGCTAATCGGGAAGCTGGTCGGAATGCCCTGGTCGGGGGAACGGCGAAGGGACGTCGACAACGGTGGGTACTGTGGGAGCTGGAAGTTGCTTGTCATGAAAGAAGGGGGGGAAGGTAGGGGCTGGAGAAATTTGCCGGTACCTGAGGATAGGGGGGATTAGAATTGGGGTTAAGGAAGGCGTTTAGCATTTGGATTTCGATTTGGGTTCAGATACCATAAGAGACTGTCAACGCAGAGTACTTGGCTATTTACAAAGTCTCCGGACACTTTGCATTTATCGATACCTTTCTTGCCGCGAACGCGTCCGGAGACTTTTCAAATGGCCAAGTAGTGGGTGCCATCGTGGGATTTAAAAATTTAAATTTAATGCTTGGTTTTGATGCGATTGTCGATGGTATTTTTTGCTGCAGCGCGGTTGTACTGTACTGTACAGTAGCTGACTCCTCGGTTTCCCTTCGGGTTTGCTTTGTTGCTATGAGTTCCAGCAGAAGTGCTCTGTGCTCAAACTCTCTTGCCCATGACAACACCTACCGTAAGCATTCGGCTCAGAGATAGATGTGCTAGGACGTTGGTATTCCCCGCGAGGGGAAGACACGGAAAACAGAATACGTGCATTGCCTTACTATGAGAGGCAACCACAACATTTAAGCATATTCCGGGACAATGTGAACCCGTTCAGTTGACCTGGTTCGAGAGTGGAGGGAGCTGCCGCTACCCATGCCGGAGCGAGTCCGAGGGTGTTAGGGGGTGGATGGGGGGATATTCTCTTCATATGATACAAGGCCGGTAGGGTATGATATTGCTCACCTAATTTAGGGCCTGGAAGCATTTTCGGCTAAGGGTGGATTATTAGGCCTACCATCGATACCCTTTGTGATTGGTGTTTGCACTCGGGTGCAACACGGCTTACCCGCATAATGCGTACTCGAATCCGGACTTCTGCAAGAGCAATTGCACCCTTTTCTTTCACCAGGGATCGAGTATTGGATTCTTGGAATCGTGCAGCACATCCGGTTTTGTGTCGTAAGAGTCGAGCAACTCTCGGGGACAGCGGAGCGCTTTCCTTTTCCTTTTTTCCCGCTTCCAACTGCTATAAGTTGCTCGAGAATATTACGGTACTTGTACCCCGTACTATAAATCTTGCAACCACACTATAGCTTTAAAGGGATCACCGGATGCGATAATATATTTATATCAGACCAGGTAATTGGATGCTCGAAGCAAATTTCGCACATTGGTGCATGAAAACTTCTGATATGACGCAGCGTGGACTTTCAAGAGGGAATAAACGGTCAATTCTTGGCGTTAATCGATATATAATCTTGCTCTTGTCCCCCAGTCTAGCGCTTGTTCTGCAAAGGAATCGAGATGACCACCCAATTATCTACGGCAGCAATTGCTATATTCTTCAAAAGCTACAACTCTCCATATTACACTTACGACCCTACACTCGCGGTCGATGATGAATTTTTACGACTACAGCACGAACAGCAGTGGGGACCCGAGGAGGTGCAGGAGCATCGCCGTCTTCTCTACCGTGCCGTTCAATTGGCGCATTTCTTCTGGAAGCACGAATGGGGAGGCTATGCCTTCCGAGAGGACGCAGAATATGATCACGAATTCTGGCGACTATGCGAGAAGAAGAGGTGGGATGAGGGACGGATTAGTAGGGCTGTTGATGAATTTCTAAAGCTCAGCGGTGGCTCAGTCGAATCTCTCACGGCCGCCGGGCACACGATGCCCGAGGAGACGGCACCCGAAGAGGAAGCCGAAGCGATACCGGAACAGGAACCAGAGACAACGTTCACAGAACAAGAGGACGCCGAAACAGTACACCCGGAAGATCCCGAAGCCCCTGGGGTGCAGAGTGCCATCGCCGTGTTTTTCGTTGGCCATAGCTGTCCCGGTTACACCTATGCCGGCCGATCCCCCAGGACCGAGTTCCGGAATCTAATCGGGGCCAGAAGGCGAGCCTGGCGAGCCCATGATCCTGACGGAACGTTTAATCAAGATTTTCAAGAAACGGAGGAGTTCAGAACGCTTGATAGGGATTATCACGAAGCGGTAGAAGAGCGCTTCGACGGGCTGTTGGGCATGAGGGGTATAGTTGCAGGGGGGTACGCGATGAGGCCGTGGGAGTCCATCCTGGAGTTGTTCCGGTTGGGAGATATTCCTATTTCAAAGAATAAAGCTTCAAAGGTACTAAATGCTGCCCATTCTCCCAGCGCGTTGGGACCCGCTATGGGTATGTACATCAGCTAACACTTGTTTTAAAGCTCATCAAACGAATATACGTAAACATCTACGACTTTTTAGAGTTTCTTGAAGAGTCCAACGATAGCTCTACGGCTGAATGGCACATCACCGGGGACGAGGAATACGAGAGAGCGTGCCTGCTGCGCCATCGCAGCCGCGGGGAACTCGCGCAGTACTCTCGCAACAACGGCAAGGTGTATCCGCTGAAAATGGCGAAAGAGGATGGGACGTTGGCGCTGTTTTTGCAGCCCCTATGGGGTAATAGTGCTGGTGTGGGGTTTGAGGAGGGGGATGAGGGGGATGAAGGGGAGGGGGATGAGGAGGAGGATTTGTGAGTTTCTCTTAGGTTGGCAGAGCGTGCGGTGCTTGGTTGGGCCTTGCAGTTTGGTGAAGGATTAGATTGTCAGAAGGGGGAGAGGGTTAGAGGCCAAAGAATGCTAGGGACCCAGGAGCAGGATAGCCATCATACCTACCAGGACTCCGAGTGACCTACCATGATCCTATGACCTATAGCTTGTGCTGTGCTTACCCTCAAATTCCTCACAAAGCCTCTCCCGTGTCACCCCGAATAGGTGGATTTCCCACATTGTAGCTAGGCTCTAATGATCTCAGCGTCTTGCTCCCCGCCAGAAAAATCCCACTACCTTGACTGCATAATACCTTTATCGCCTGAATCTCAATCCTGAAAAGGAAAACAGCATAATTCCAAAAAAGCACTGCGGGTCCTCTAAAGCACGCCTTCAGCGTAACTCTCCGAAAGCCTTTACAGTTTGAGGGTTTGAGGTAGACTTGAATGTGTTGGATGATGGAATAATTCTCCATATCAAGTAAACCTTGAGGGAGAGGAAGAGAAACTTGCATTAGAACTGCTTGCGGCACTATCTTTTTTATAAACCCACATCTCCTACCGCGCGAAGCGTGATATATCATATCTGAATGAATGCACCATCGGAGGCGCTTCCTTAACTAGTGTCTCTGGGAGACAGCGCTAGTTTCAATTTCGGGCGCCAGACGCTAGGCGCTAATCAACTATCTGGCAGGGAAGGCTGCGTTGGGCTTGTATACAGTGCAGTAAGGTGATGCACCTGTGCGGTGTTTTATCCGTCGCAAGTTCTTGGGTTGAGTTTGGGCGGGGGTAAAGTAGGTATGGCAGTTAGATCCTAGTCGATAGGAATGTAAGTATTTGAATTGTCTTGCATCTCCAAATTCCATACCGTTACTGCACCTGCACCTATCCTATTCGAATTTCCAAATAAATATCTAATACGACACAACACATTATCCTCCCCTCCCCCCCCCCAAAAAAAAAGAACAATGCGTCACCACCGCCTCGGGCCGGCAATGCTTCCGCAGGAGCTCAGCGCTGTCGTGCCCTAGGGGGGGGCTTCGCCCACTACCGTCTCCTCCACCGATCTCACCTATCCACCAAATGCTCCCCAATGATCCAAGCAAACTCCTTCAAAAGATGTAGCTTCACTGGTTACACCTTCGCCCCCACCAGCCCGGTGGATGTAGAGTTCGGGGGACTAGTGCAGACCCGCCAATGGAAGTCAGAGAATTTCCAGACATCAACTACTAGAGTGCGCGGTGCAGAGTCTTTTGAGAGGTTCGAAGACGAAAGTGGAAGGGGGGTACGAGTATGATGCGGGAAATAATAGACTGGTAAAGGAGGATGGGTGGGAGTTGTCGAGGGGTTTAGGTTTAGGAGGGAGTTTGAGGCGTTGGTTGGGGAAATGCTTTTGCCACGAAAGAGGGGAGGTAATGCGAGTCTGGAAGGGATAAGGTCTCCGGGGGCAGGACTCCTGTTGAGGTATTCCTAATGGGGAACCAGCACCCCGGGTGCTCGTTCGCTAATCGGTCTCCGGGGGTTGAGTTCTGGGAACTGCTCAAGGCGGAGAAGAAAGCGTGGGAATTGAAGATTAGGGGATGTGCACTAAATACAGGGCACGAGGGGATTCAATCCCCGCTATGCTGTGGAGAGTCCTGTTCGAGAAATTCGACCTAGGAGAGCCCCCTACAGAATGTGACGAGGTGGGAAAGGCGAGAAGGTGTTTGACAATTTGCTATATCATACCGCACTCAACTAATGACCACCCATTTATGTCCTCAAAAAGATCTATGTGAATATCCCAGACTACTCAGGACCGTCAGCCTTGAACCAGTGCTCCGTGGCTACCACCAGCATTCTCCGGCACGGACCACCCGTCGGATTCTTGTGGGCATCCTCGCGATATATTCATGCGTCACGGCCAGGGCGCACAGGCATGGGTGGGGTAGGCCATTGGGGTTTTTCCTGCAGCATATTGACCAGAGGGTGGGAGGGGGGTTGAGAACTTAGGGGAGGATATCATAGGCGGGCAAATATCTTGGTTGTAGTGGGATGTTTAGTATTTTTAGGAGCAAGTTCTTGCTACAGATTGACCGCGATAATTGTGATGGCAGAGCTAATTGAGCGAGTGATCTAGACCCCACCCATTCCAGTGCTAGAAGTAATTCATAAGGTGTGTTCTCCTTAGAAACGCAGATAACCTCCGCCACCTTACCAATCGGCAAAGATGTATGATAACGAAGCGCACCCCACTACTCTCCCCCACCCATCCATATCCTTAATCCCAATCCCAACCCCGCACAAATCCGTCCGCCCTATACCCTGAAACACAGCCCTCGAAATAAATTCCATCTATGCCCAATCTCCCCCGTTCCAATCCCAACCCTTAAAAGCCCCCTTGTATGATACCTCAGTACACAACCCGACATTATCAAAGAACACCAGCTCAAGATTTGCAGACTCCAGTTGTGAAAACAAAGAAGAAGGAAAAAGGAAGGAAAAGAAAACCTCATGCTATCAACCAAAGACACCTAGAGTTCCCTGACCCTCCCAATAACAGAATAGTTTTTCCGCCGTCATGAACTCTAGCATCCCCCATACCATCAGACCGGAGTCAATACAACACACGAGAAACCGCAAAATTGCTTGGATAAATCTTAGCATGAGTCTCCCATCATCCGAGACCGCCGTTGGCTCCAAGGGGTTTTGGCCATAATAAGAGCTTCTACGGGTAAGACATATACCATCACTCGCACAGGATCTTGATAGGAGAGCTCAGCGCGGAAGCTGCGAATTAATCAAGGCTCGGATTCCAAGATACCGTTTCTGTGGGGTACGGCCTTTGGTGCATGTTCTGGTGTCCAGAACGAAGACGTCCGCGGAGAGTCTGGTAGTGGCTGCCGGGGTTGCCGGCTTCCAGTAGTGGGGTGGTGTCGCGAGGATGGGGTAATGTCATACTGTTCTGAACCGTACACACCCGCTATTACAATGTAATGCTTTGGAGGAAGTCTAAATATTATGGCAAGTGCGGATACTTTTACTCTAGCATCATGATTTTGTTGCTGAACAAGCTGCCGAAACTCTCTTGGGTTTAGTAGGAGCGATGGTTGGTTGGAGGGAAGCACTCCACTAGTACTGCAGAATATGCAGTGTGGAAGTGTGACGCCAGCTTGATACTCGTAGTAGCCGTCCCTTTTATGGGAGCGGGCGGGGAGGGCTGTCGCAAGTGTCTAATAATTGCAATTTGCCCGGTATCGCAGCACAAGCCTAGTTTTTAGCAGGGAATCTGATAGCACAGTATATAGAAGAACTATCAGTAGTGCCGTTGTATGACAGATAGTCTGTGAAACGAATCGATGGCGATCACTCGGCGGTATTGAGAGAAATCACTGGGAGCAGGTAAACCTTGCCAACATAGCACGGGCTTCTTCAAGCTTACCGTCTACTCCCATTTGCTTGTGACGAGCAGCACACCACTACTCAAAAACACACAGGACAAATATTAACTAGTTATGGGAATGGGGGACAAGAAACACGACGACATGGGCTAGGTCTAACAGGAACTCCGAGGAAAGAAAAGGCAAAGAAAGAAGAAAGAAAAAAGGAGATAAATGGCAAATAGCCAGCTGAAATCGAAAAAAACGCCCATTATCAAAGCCTATTCACATCGGAACTGGCGGCGGTCTTGCCTACACCGATCTCTCGCTCGGTGGGTGTTTAGGGGAATTCATTGAGATTATGTCTGGTGACGAAGGAGGAAGGATGCGGGCGAGAAAGGCTAAAGACAAATGAACGAGGTAACGATAGAATGCAAGTAGACAGCAATTGAGAGGGTTGATTCAGTGTTGTTGGGATGAGTGCCAATTTTCCTTGGAGGATACCGGAACTTCAGGGACCATATAGAGGGGAGTTGAGGGAGCCCGGATGGCTCGGCTGAGGAGAGATCGCCATTTGTGGGCCGGGGAACAGGGACGTTGGGTCCGACACTCCTTTCCGCTCATCGGGGATTCCCAATGGGAGTACGGGTTGACCATTGGCGCCTTGGGGTTGGTATTAGGATTCATCGCCCCCAAATTGCATCTGCACTACACACTCGTCTCCATGCCTAGTGGAGGGTGGGGGGATGCCTAGCTAGTGCGACCCGCCGCGCTGGGATGTCATTGTCCCGTTTGAGTAGGATCCCCATAGCTCCATCATGTTATCTAGAGAAAGCCCACGATAGTGATATTTGATTCCCGTTATCGAGAGTAGTTTGCAGACATCTTTCCGCTCTAAAAGCAGCTTTACTGCCCCTCGTTCCCGTTCTTAACCGCCTACTAGAGTGGTGTCTGGACATGTATGGTGTCTGCCTTATCGGGATTGACATCCTCATGCTCCAACATTGCTTTTACGACCTCATGTCCTCTTCCCGCTGCCAATGTGAGAGCCGTACTTCCCGTGCGATCAGTTGCGTTGATATCCCATTTCTTTATCTCTAACACAGCAGCAACTATCCCGCCAATCCCAAGAAACGATACTCCGTGGAGTCCTGTAAACCAACTATGTTTCCACAGGTCGTAGAAATAAGGGCCCGAGCTTCTACCTCGATTATAGCGCAATAACATTAAATGAGCAGATATATGCTGATCAAATCTATTGAGAACCCTTAGTACAAGCATTTTCACATTTTCCCTCATGCCCTTTCTTGTGTGATACCCCCAGTAATAAGAAGGGGAACCGTTGAGGTGGCCGAGTCAATATATGGTGAAAGATCCCAGACACCCAAAATTGAGGTATGTCAAGACTGTGGAATAGGGTCAGATCACTTAAGAGGTACTCTTTCAGTGTAAAGTGCGCCAGTCGGACAGTAAGCAAAGACGCTTCAACCGTTACAAGACCTAGAGAACACGCTAGTAATGTCCTTAACGCAGGAATGTTATCAGGATCCTGATCTGCAGTTCCTATCTCGACTCCCAAGGTATGACGGAGCTCCTCACTCCGTAACGGCCGTTCGGAATAAAACACTCACACTAGGACCTCAAGTCCGAGTATAGATTTATTTCCCTTTTGGGTTTTCAGTGGAGTTAGAGTTGCTGTGTATGTATCGCTAAGTCCATTGCCTTGGGTCATTTTTCAAGCTTCTTCTTGGACGGATTGTCACCTCTTCCAGAATAGAGTCGATGTTTAGTGAAACAAGTAGGAATCTACACATAGAGATTGGTTAGAATACACCATCGATAGAGTGGAAATGATAAAATGCTCCTACACACATATCTGATATCCTTTGTAGGATAATTCTAATAATATCCGCCCGGCAATCGTTGTTCATCGCCTCCGGCTCGTCGTCCCTGTCTAGCTATATCTCTAGATAGTTCTTAATATCGTCCGTGTTAGGGCTGATAGGTATTATAACCGCCTTGGTGAAATATCTCTGGGCGCCGTCCCTGACATGAGGCCTCCAGGTGAGGAATATCCGCGTCCTGGGGGACTGCTAAACAATATCCCTGAGCGACCCAAGCTCTGGCAGGTGCTTCGGTAGGCACTCATTCAACGCATCAATACAGATAAAATCCCGGGGTAGCGAGGCAATAGCAGTCCTTAGCATTCCCACCAGATCCGGGAGTCTCGGCTCTCTCCCGCCAAACTCCTTTTTGCCCTCACGCAACGCTTCGCGTACATATTTCGGGACGCCCCCTCTGCCTACCAGCTGCCCCAGAATAGCTCCCATCATATTAGTGATGGTCTGCTCTTGCTGGGAAAGGTAGTCGCAGTACATGCCCGCAACGACGATTTCTTCCTTCTTTGCCTGATCGCACAGGCTATCGATCGCTAGGGAAATAGTATCTCTGGCCGTTAGAAATATTAGCTTCTTTCAAAGGACCCCGCCACCCACCTCAGATATGTCTTTCCTGCTCCCGGATTCCCGCTGCAAAACAAGACAACCTTATCGACACCACCCTCATTACTCCTCCACTCCCGAAACTCGCTTTCTTCTAAAAGCCAATCCCAGACAACATCAAATCGCTCTTTGCGCACGCCTTGGTGTCTCTTGTTTGGTTCTAATGGAGAGATCCAACGCACAATCTGCATATCTTCGTCTGATTTATAAACGATGTTATTGAAACTATTCGTTATGTTGCCGCTGTGAGCATTGCCGTCGCCCAAGTAGACCGATGGTATATGTGTACCCTGAGCCATGATATTCTGTGCGGAGTGCTGGTTTGATGTAGAAATGGTTCAACAATTTGTGGGGTATTAGGGGAGTTTATGAATCCCTTAAGCGGGGTTGAAGAAAGCGGGGCGATGCACTATATTGCAACCTGTTGTATGACCATTATTATATTACTTGTTTAACAAATCATTTCCCTTTAGGGAGGGAGCATGGCAAATGTGAGACATGTCTCACGAACACTTCTGTCAAGAGACTGTGCTGTACTCTAAACATCTACGAAATAAATTCATCAAAAGGGCTCCAGCAGACAATCGGTATAAGAGTAGGCCTCATATGAAATGCAAATCCCGCGCACTCCCAATAATCTAGCCCCCCCCCCAAGTGATTTCTTTGGAACGAAAGCAAAACTATCAGAACGGGAGATCTTACTCCTGAGCCATTACGGTATGTCGAGATAGACTTGCCCTTGATTTCTGCTCCCCCAATCACCAACACAAATCAAAATGCCGCCTCATCAACTTGTCTCCCGTTTTCTCTTTAACCATCATTGCAACCCGTGCCGCAGAAGAGGCCATTCGACTATGAATATATGCACAACTAGGCTATAATAATGCTCACTCGACACCCCCACCTCCTCGGACGGGACCTTCCTTACCGAGTTTTGCCAGTCTTTTTACCATTCATCCAGGCCGAGGCAAAGCGGATCGTATTACGGGCTCTTGAGAATATAGCTCTATTAATTGTCTGTCTGTCGTCTCACGCAGTTGGTGATAAAAAAAGCGCCCTAAAGATATTGCAAATTGTGGCGGAATAATTTGGTTCTATTTGCTAGCAAGCGACAAGAGGGTAAACACCAATGTAAGATTTGAGATTACATGGGGCAAGGTTGCTCCCAGAAGTATCCTCCGGAGAGCGTGGTCGGAGAAATAGATCCTCCTCTCCGACCAGCGTTATAGCCTTCCATCTAAAAGGCAAGTCAAGAGCATCTCCAAACTTCATATTCTATTCACCTCCTCTGGGGTAGATCCTAACTCTCCACCGGCGAGGGCTAGAGCGGCCGTCTTAGGTTCTCCGCAATGGATCCCACCGCTAAGGCCTCCCTAATTTCGAGACCCCCGTGAGGGAGATGATAAGCCCCTAAGTTATCCCTTATTCCAACCATCTTTGTAGAAACACCGCTACCGAAGAAAAGTAGTAACTGCAAAAGAGCCCAGATTCCCTTTTTTACAGATTTGCTTATCGCGATTTCCTTCATCGGATTTTGCCAATGAATAAGGTTTAGTTTTTCCAGAAACCAATCCTTGCCCACACTCCCCTAGAGAGTGCAAAGTCGTGGGAAGCATAGTAACTTGTCCTCAACGTTAAGTTTTCGAAGCTTGAGGTTGGAGCCCATAACCTTTCCTGTAGGAACCCTCACAGGTATCGCTTTCTCGTTTCATTTGAGGTGTGAATCACCTAAGGTTGTTTGTGGTTTGGCCGCTTGTTGTTGGACCTGGTGTCAGCTAAATTTACTACACGACCGAGTTCTATTGCCGAGTAAAAATCAACCAAGAGTGGTCAGAGGAGAGAGGGCATGACACCGGATAAGTTAGTTTTCGCACCCTGTATATTGAAACATGAGTAGCAACTTCCCTCCAAGCCCCCAGAATACCCATGAAGTGGCAACGGAATAATCGAAAGCGCTGATATTGATCGGGTAGTGTTGGAGTTATGAATTGTATGACTAAACCAGAGTCTATTGAACGAACACCCATCATACACCACGGACTCGAACACGAGGCAATATCCATTCTGCTAATACTGTACCCTGTCCTATAGAGGTAGGACAGCTTAGATCTCGTGGTTTGATAATCATCCATATGCATCGGTACCCGGTAAGTCTTGGCCGACTAAAGGAAGTCCCTATCCCAAATAGCTCGTTCCCATACTAAGCTGCATGTCAGCCAGCCAGCAGCAAGCCGATCTATGGCCTCCGGTTCATCAGCGCTACTAGGGTCGCACCCCGACAATTCCTCCCGGCAAACCCCTTTTGTTAAGCCCGGGTTTGCCATCTGATCCCGGACCGTTATCGTACAACTAGAGCTGGAATCATGATTAAACCTAAACTTGCCCATCCAAGTCACCCCGGAAAATATGCGTAGAAGAGGTCGAGTTCTGGCCGGCTGCGGGATACCATGCGCGAGACTCCTACCCTCATCAGCTACGAGATAGGTTCCACTATATATCAATTCCGCCGATACCGCAACAGGGTCCAGAACGAGAGCGCCCTCGGGTGGACTCATCAGGAAATGCCAAACTATCATACGCATAAATTTACTCCCCGCAAGTTGCAGTGGATAAAGGTGGGTGCTGAATTGTGACCGGTGGGCCTTGCAAGCAGTGTGTTGTGATGCTCTATCGGGAAATGCTGCGAGTAAGGGTCAGCTCGGAAGTTTTGGATGTTGGTGGAGAAAAATGAATCACTGTACATCCCGCGACTCGGTGAGACAAAGTGAACTCGAGCATGGGGGAAAAGGTAGGATACCCAGACAGAAACCCAAAGCAAACGTGAAGCTTTAAGACTCCAACCCGCCCCGTCAATTCAAAAAAGGGTTCTTTTACCATACGAGGACATCTCTCGGGATTAAAGCCCATCGCGCCCTTTCCTGATTACGATGCACGGTACCGTGCCTGTATTCAACCGATTGAGTAAGTTATCGCAACGAAAATAGTACAAGTACTAATTATAGCAAATACTCAAATACCGCAGAAGTCACTGCACTAACACAAGTACTCGAGCACAAGTGCCCACCAGAAGGTTAGTGAACGATTAATCTGGGTTGGCCTGCGAAATAATCACTGTCTTCCACGAAAACACCTCCCCTGGCGATTGTATAATAATATTATGTTAGCTTTCTCTCAAGAGCTAGGCTATCTATGGCTGTAGGGAACATCCGAACATGGTGCAAGATCAAATATAGAAAATACAGTGTTGAAAGGAGAGAGAGACGTCAAAAGAGAGACCTTACGTTTTGCTTCCTAGGGAGCCTAAATGGCCACGTGATGGAAACAGGATTCCAGATCCGCGCAAGTTGGGCTGTACTGTACTGTACAGTGCTGGACAGTACAGCACTTACATCGAGAACCCAATTCTTAGATAGCCCAATTCCCTCACACCACCATCCTAGACCAGAATACCGGCCCGCCAGTGCGATAACATTATCGCAACAAGATAGTTAGCACACAGGCCATGTTATAACCCGAACGCGGCAGGCCAACCGTTCATTCTCTATGAGCGACTTGCCTGGAGAAATATCTTTAAACAAGTCTATAACAATATCATTACATCATACTAATTCTAATCAATTGTGAAATGCTCCGCCATGCAAACAGGTGTAAAAATGCAAAAGGTAAAAAAGAGGGTGAAAAAACTAGACCGCTCATTGCTATTAAACTCATACCAGACCTCCGTATCGGTTGCATGGGGCCACCCAGGGCCTTACTCCTCTTCGTCATCCGCTTCATCCCCACCAATAATATCCCAAATCCCCTGCTTGACCTCAAATCTCTGCTCTTCATCTTCATCATCGTCATCGAGGTCAAACTCCTCATCTCCAAACCTCTGGCCACCCCTAACCCATGGTTTGAACACATTCGGATCGTCATCGGAATCGTCATCGGAGGGATGGAACCGGCGAGGTAGATCATCGTCGGAGTCGTAGGTGGGCTCTTCGGGGTAGTCATTGGTATGAAAGTCCTCAGCTACAGACGCCGATGAGCACACTTCATCCATTGTATCGTGGAGGTAATCGAAATGAAGGGGACAAACCGTTGCTATCCTCGTCTTCACTAGCCCAGACATCATCTTCACTGCCTTCATCCGGATCCCCTTCATACCACCATTCTTCGTCATCGCTACCCTCAATCTCCAATACGCCGTAGTCTCCTTCCTTCCCATCAACAGGGACAGGGAGTTCTTCGCGGATATACACATCGTAGACGAAACCATCCTCTTCCTCGGGTCCCCCCCACGTTCCACCACCCACTCCTCCGCCGATCTTCGATGCTATACTCTTTGGTTTCGTGGAAAAGGAGGACGATGATAGGTTGCGGATGCCATCGTTGGAAGACGAATTAAGGTGTTCGAGTACCATCGCGTGAAACGGGGCGATGAGGGAGTCATTATCACCCTCCCGATCCTCGAACTTGACCTTGTTGCCCTCGGCCATTTTCTCCTCTTCCGCTTTCCTCTTTTGCTCTTCCAATTTCTTTTTCTCTTGTGGGTGAGTTCTCGGGCGTTTACGCTCCACCGCTGGCTCAGGGGTTTTCTCCACAGCCGTAGTTTCTTCCGCCCGGTCCGTACCGATATCATGAGTTTCAACAACCCGAGTAAAGATAGCGCTCCGACGAGTGGCACTGGAATACGGATGGTGGCTATGCTTAACACGAAGGCGCTTTGCGAGCTGGTATCTTCGAACAGGTGTTATTTTCCTCTTAGTCCCGGACCTCTCCGCTTCTTCATCATCCTGCCCCCTCTCCATCTCCCCATTCTTCCTTTTGACAGCCGGCGTCAACCCCCCAGCCCGTGGCGACTCGTTACCAAAAGTATCATGTCGGGGCGTGCCATGTCGCTCAGGAGCTTGGACTGGGGACAAAGCAGGCGGACTATCTGGTGAAACCACAGTCTGAGACTCAAGAGCACTCCCCCCATTCGACGAAATTGCACTAAGCGGAACTGGTGCTTTAAGTAACGCACTTTGGGGAACCGTAGCAGTATCCAAAATCAACTTCTCCCCTGGCTGTGGCGTAACATTTCTTGGCGTCAAAGCCGTCAAAGGCAAAACGGTACTGGGAGAATCCGGTGAAGGTTCAGACCCACCCAACGACGGCGGCAATGTGCTACGAACCTGCGGAACCCGATAACGCCGAGGTGGGCTCGAGGTCCTGGGCTGGAATGGACGGGGCGTGGGATCGGTAGGCGACGTAACCGTGTGTGCAAGTCGGAAAACGTAATCTGGCGAGTGCCCGGTTCTCTGACGCTTCTGGGGAGTGCGAGTGTTACCGTCAATGTCTGTATATTAAGAAGAAAAACCCATTAGTTAAATCGACCAAACTATCATCTGAGACATAGTCAGTTGTGAGGAAGCATACATAACGCCTGGACAGGAGCTTCGTCACGAGGACGCTTGATACGAATTGTCTGTGGTGGTAGAGACATTGTAACGTTTCCTTGCCCTCCTTCAAAGAATCAACCGATCTCTTATTTTTATATGTTCCGTGATAGTTTATTAGAAGGAGGGAGGAAGGAGATTGTTGTAGGCAGGGAATGCAGGGGAACAGAGACTTGTTGGGGGTCTTGGGGGTGTCTGACTCAGCCGCAATCGGGATCTCAGAGATCTGGTCCGATGGTAAGCAACATCAGGTTACCCGGACACGTACTGTACTCGAGAATCATAATACTCGTACGATATCATCAAATCCTAATCTGACTTAAATTACTCGTAACACTGTGTGATTCGCGCATTGTTTGTCATTGGGGTCTACCCTTGTTTGGAAATGAGTGTTGCTACCGTAGTCTAAGTCCTTATCATATCTCACATCTAGTAAAAAAAAAAAAAACCCTAGTCTAATTTCCACACTAGTAAAAAATTGCCATCCCCCTGGTTTCTAGAGCACTTCTTCGTCCGTCCTGCGTAATTAATCGGATAAGGCTAAATTAATTACTTGGGCCTGGTAGCATGGCCCCATTTGAATTCATGAATCAAACTCCCTATGAGCGTGATTGCGGGGGCATGCTAATTACCAGTGTAGTGTCTAAGCGCGCATGAAAAATTGGGCCCACATAAGAACTACAGTAAGTTACCTCGGATCAAGTGCTTTTGGACAAGCCTCATATTTTTGTGGCGTAGTTTGCTGATATCACTGTGTCTTGCAAATTGGGAAAGAGTATTCCTGTCCTGGAAAGCGACGCTAGAAGGAAAAGTCCCCACTGGAGTAAATTAATATCATCGCTCTTGCGCTTCGGGTACTGTACACCTTGATAAATTCCACAGAAATCATACAATAAAACCAAAACCGAAACGGGGTTGTTCAAATTCATCAACTATCACTAACTCCTCGAGTAGAGCACCGGCCACCACCACCACCACCACTCACATCCCAATAGTAATCGTAACCCTCTGCCCCGTTTTCAAATCGCCAATAATCCGGACAACCGTATTGATGCATGTCTCGTCATGGTAATGATCCGGTCTCCCGGTATATCCCTCGTATATCACCTCCTGATTCCTCACATGTAAATTCCCCGGCTCGTGCCAGAATACCAGTGTCAGCACATCCCCGATATAATCTGTTGGGTCAAAGTTATCTCTAGGCACGGTGATTGCGAGTGTGCGGGTCCTTTCTTGAGGGTTGAATGACTGTCGGGTTTACCAGCCCTGGTGTCAGCATCACGTGACAGGTCAAGAGGGGGGGGTGCGAACTACCTGCTCAAACACAATCTCGAGGAATTTATTCTTCGCTTCTAGGTCGGTGTCTACGTCCGCGAAACAGGGCTTGTCCTCGTCCGTGCTTGTGTATGCCACTGTTACTTTCTCGCCGTCTACGTATGAATTTGGTGCACTGTCGCGGCTGACGCCGTCGTCGAGGAACATTCGGTAAGACTAAGGTTAGAAAGTTAGCTTTTCTATGCTTCAAGGAGAGAGGGTGAATTTTGGCGCACGTTGGTCTTTCTACCTGGGTAGAGGTGAATGAGGATTGGGTTTGGTTTCCCGGGTATGTGGTCCGTGTGTGGGCGGACTTCTATTTGTGGGATAATGCCACCTGCAGTATCATAGAGTTCAGGTGAGTGTAGAATCATTGTCACCTGGAGGGAGAAAATGCCCATACCTTCTCTCACAAAAATGGGCGTAATATTCGGAAGGAATGCGGGTTCGCTAGCAATATGTGCATCGACTTCAAATTTTGACCCTCCTGGAATACGCTTCTCCAGCGGTACCCCGTCATGGCGGGGACTTCCATTATCAACCCTTAAATTGAATTTATACCAGCCATCTGGTTCTGGAAGGTAGATTGAACGGTGGCCTCCTGCAACGGACTGTTGATGCATAATCGGGCATACGAGAAGATCGTTTCGAACCATATATTCATTATCGAGCACCCAATCTTGCTAGAACATTTATAAGCCCTGGGGGCCCTATATTTGGAGTTCGGAAACCCACCTCAGCCAGCAAAGATGAGTCTTCACTGTCTGTAATAACTAACGACCTTGCAATAGGCAATCCATTGAACTGATGCTCAAACATGGCATCATACAGAAGCTGGAGTAAACTATATCGAAGCTTAACATAGTAACGACAGATAGGCTCCACCGAGAGCCAAAGGTAACGATCTTTCTTAGGGACACCCGATGGATTGGAGTTAAAGTGGTCTGTAAAGGCATATGGCTCTTGGAATAGTTTCATTCCTCTCTTACCGTGATAATGATTTCTATACCAAAGTTAGGGGCAATAGGACAGCTTGGCAATTTGGGCTACTAGCTCACCTGAACCATGGCAACATTGAGTATGCACAATACCAGCGAATGAGTAATTCAGGCTCTGCCCATCTCCCACCGGCAGGCATAAAGCCTCCTACATCAGTTCCAACTATCTCATTCCCGGAAATTCCTAGAGAAAGCACCTATTATTGGGTTAGCTAATAAATTTGAATCTGATCTTGACGGCAAAGGGGCCGATCTCACAAACCTGATTGACCGAGATACGTAAGTGGTCCCAAGTCGAGGCGTTATCACCAGTCCACAATCCAGCCCACTTATTCGCTCCTGCGTAACTCCCACGACCAATGATGAAGTTGCGCTTGTTCTTCCTACTCTCAAGTCTATTCAAGCCTTCGTACGTGGCCTTGTGTAGATTGTAGCTATATAATGACCAGATCTCGATTGCTGGCTTCATTTGCTTTGGCGAATCGTCCCTTCCCGACCAACAATCTGACTCTACCAGGAGGCGGAATGGAAGGCTGAAAACGCCCCGGTTAGTCTACTGTAACTAGTGTAGCGAGAAGTAATCATTCATTTATATATACCCCTTCATGTCACCATATTCTTTGGCTATCGCCGGCGTTGTCATGTCTTGCCAAATAAACTCAAGTCCCTGATCGAAAAGGTATTTGTATTGCCCCCCCCACCACTTCCGGGTATTGGCATTGTTAAGGTTTGGGTAGTGCCCCGGCTTGACAGTGTCAGTATATGGGTACCAGGGGGTCAGGATTGGGTTTGAAAACTCACTGTGCCGAGCGTACCGCCGTATCCCACACCGCCGCGATATGCCACCTTTGAGTTATTGTAGTACCTGGTAAAATCACTTTAGACGCAGGATGTTAGCAAACAAGTGGTATGTGGAGGACGAGATTAGCGAACTTACTATTCGGCTCCCGGAAACTGCCCTTTCTCATTAACAGGATCGATGGATAATTTTATCCCACCTTCGTAGCAGATATATTCGACCTCGTGCACTGGTACCACACCAGTACCATCATCGTAGCGCTTATCCATTATAAAATGGCTGTGATAGAGTAGTCAGACCCAATGTGCGCGATACTGATTACATGGTATACCCGTATTTGTGGCCTTCTTTTAAGGTATTATATGTTTCGCTTGGGTTCAGATTGATCACTGGAGTGATATTTGTGCAACTCTTGATGCCAAGCCCCCGGAGCTCGCGGAACATCTCTTTTGGGTGGGCGAACCTTCGCTCAGAATCAATTGTGAAGGTTCGATAATCGTCCTGTCTCAAATGTATTCTGTTCCTATAACTTGGGTCATAGAGTGTAATCAATTGGAATTACCAACCTGTAAGTCAACGTCTATGTGTATTCCATCTAGCGGTATATCATTCTTCACATAACCGTAGGCTGCTTTGAGAACCTTATTGCGAGTGTCGTATCCATAACCTAGTTGACCCCTAATATTAGATACTCTCTTGATGTCCCAAAGGAAGTTTTTGGCTTATGAGGGGGAGCTTTCGACATACACCCCTGGTGATGTCCCAGCACGTATCGTGGTTTCAATCGAGCTCTCCCAATTATCGAGCTATAAAGGCTAACCGACACAGGAATCTCAATCAATGAAGTGAGCCTCCATAGCGATATTTTGAAACCTACTGGATGATTTCAACCACCGAATCGCCGGCAAAGACAAAGTACTGTAACGGCCCAAAACGGGTACCGACATTAATCTCACCGCCGTTATTCACACAGAAATCAACACAGATCTGGGAATAGTTATCGACAAAGGTCGCAACCTTGCTCTTGTAATTCGGTAATCCATTGAGTTCTAGCCAAAACGGCTCGGAGTGATATAAGGGTTCGCGCTCGTCAAGTGGTCCTTGGCCGTAAACACTGCTATATGTCATGTTATCGAAGTCTAATGGTAACCTCAGCCACGGTAGAATACGAGTAGGTGGTTCACAGGAACCTACTAAAATAGTTCATAAGAGTGCTCTTTTTCAAGAGCTCTTTTCCTCCTTGCTCCCCCCATCCTTCAAGCATGTACCCATTAGCAACCCAATACTTTTGACCCTAGGTAGCTCTTCTAATATCGGAATTTAAGGACTCGAGAATTTGCGAGAACATACCCATATAGCGTGCAAGGCCGGGCTTTTTGGAAGTTAAGACAGTGGCGGCGGTTTTCCGTGTCTTTTTCCATGACAACCCAGCTCCCGCGGTTTCCCAGACGATTTTCCTCTGGGAATGAGCTGCGTTGTGTCCGCCCTGTGGACATGGGGGATCGGCTACTCCAGACTCATTAACGCAGCGAACAGCCTAGAAGCCACATGGTAGGATGAGCTAAACGCGATATTGATTTCACTGGAAGGAGTAGTACCTGAATTTTGAAGCACTCCTTATAGATTAATAGTTCAGAGATAATTGTCCTTTTCCTGGGTTCTGGCTCGTCGCCATAGCGCACGGACTATAAGCTAAGGTAAGTATCAAGTGCGCAAGGTGACCAAGACTCGGAGAGTGCCTAAGGTATACCCTGAGGGTATAGAATTGACCTGTTTCGGGCCCCGCAACAAATTCCGTCTCCCATTTGATACCCTCTACCTTATCTAGGATATCGCGGAGGTTTGTCAAGGTATCTGATATAATGGCCCGCCTATGCGTCATGTGAGTCTCTTCAAGCCGCGAAAGAACATCAAAACAAATGCATTCTCAAGGACACTGAAGGGGTGAGTTACGAATTATAGTCATCGTAGTCATCCGGGTTGGTGCTGTTGGGGTCAAACCGAATTCTCCAAACTTTTGGCCTAACGAATTGTATTAACAGCAATGGCGCCGACTCCCCCAAATTCCTAGTGCTTAGGCGAAGGAGGACTCCAGTCGCAATTGCTGGGTTTGACGAGCTATTGTCCTCAGGATGGTAGGTGACTCGGGTTGAAGACGTGAACTCTCCTTGGTGAAAAGATTCGAAAAATTCTTCCGGTAGGACAAAGCTATGGCTATCTACGGGGCATGCCATTATGGAACCTACCTTTCAGGATTCGGGAGCACTGTCTGTATCTCATGGGGAATTGGGCCCACTATTTATCTATCGTTTATGACATTTCTGGGGGAAAAAATGGTGATTTTAACGAATCAGAGGGATGGAATCTCACTATGCATATCAGACCCCGCGGTCGGCCCAGGAAGTCCTGTTATGAGAACTACTCCCCGATGGGGGCATAAACGGTGCGGATTCCATGATTCGATGGGACAATCGTGTCAAGGAAGCAAGAAACTCGCATGGCATTAGCTCCCCGCCTTGTCCCATCTTACCCTGAGGGTGTGCATCGGATACACTTGATCGCGATCCCCGTGAATTGGATCATGAGATATCACCGGCAATAAACCGAGCGGGGGAGCATATGTGGAAGGTTGATCCAGAAGTGATTTTGCGCGACACATACGGTGGGTCTTTGAACTGAATTTTTGTCAGCTAGAGTGTGCATTAAGTAGGATATTTATGAACTAGGGCGCTAGCTGGGTTATAGTGCAACGGGCTTCGAATTTTGAGTGGATATGCACCATAATTTAATTTGCGCGGGAGTAGAGTATCCAAAATCGGATGCTTGGATATTGTACAGAAATTAGCATCATCCCATTCGACAAATGAGTGATGTTTGAACCGTTGACCCTTAGCCGTGGGAATTAAAGAAAACCTTTCCAAGACCGTCACCATGCATTCTTGTGCATAATTCTAGGATACTATCCTCTGCTTAGTTATACCATCCAAATGGTTTCACGCAGCAACAAAATTTAATAGCAAATTGAAAATATACCTGCCGACTGTTGGCAGTGTCTTCATCCCTCAGATAACCCCCAAGCATTTGAAAACAACTCGAAGCCTCCGAATACTTTTCCGATCTCTTCTATAATTTTTGGTGATGAACAAAGTCCTAGGGTGAATGTTTTGGCGATTTCCTGGGAATTCTTGGAGCAGGACAGCACCCAAAACCCACCATTATTGAACCAGGCCAGAAAAGTACATATAATACCTTAAAAATGGCTAGGAGGTCCATAATTTCCCCCTCTACGGTAGATTAGAGAAGGAAACAAAATGAAAAGATTCCTCACCCGAGACAAATAAAAGGAAACAAAATACAACAGACCTTACCAGAGCAGAAACCTCCAACGTCCTAGGGGGGGGTTTGAATTATTTCGGTTTTTTACGGTAGACATCTCTGACCGCGAAAAATAAAAAACTTTATGGTTCTGGAAGACTGGGAATAGGACCGCTTTTGTTTTATCCAAAACTCGTAGTTCTCGTGGCCCCACCTCTAATCTTCCTCAGCAATACTATGATAGTGCATTATTTGATATTTGTCTCTCTCCCTCTAGTTTATTTTTGGGTTTTTTTTTACACCATTTTGTAAAGGGCCAAAGGCGAGGTGATCCTTTGCAAAGGCTTCCCATTTTTAATGGTATTTCTCTAGTATCCCAAAGGTCCATCGCTAGTGCATAGTATTAGAAAGGTTGACCCAATTAGCGTGCTCACCACACACAACCCTTCCTTCATATAGTCTATAGAAGGCAGGCGAAATGTTGTGCGTGCTATACTAGTGGGCACTACCGAAAATTCATTTTCGTGATAATAATATTATTGTGTCTGCCAACCTATGCTTTTACAATCTTTGTCAGGAGCCTCGTAACCTTCTCTCAGAGGATGGCTGTGTTTTCTCCCAAATTCAAATCTATCCACCTACACAAAGCGTACAGTTCTTGGATTCGCAAATAATACGTAAGCTTCCCCTTAAAATAAAAATGTCGAATATTTGGTCTTTCAATCCCGGCCATCTTTCTACGTTTCCCTCGCCCACCCTCCTGGTACTTAAGAAACATCCTTCTCATCCACCCTCTTTGACCATACCATACACAGCGTCACAGTGAAAACTCGTCAAAATGGTCAGAGCTAGGGAATACCCGTTCCTAACTTCTCCCTCGTGCACTCTGAAGCCAGTCCGGACACCTCAATTTTCCAGGTCAATCGTTCAAAGTACCAGGACTGACGGATATTGGGTCGAGACCTTTTGGGTTGACCCGGCCGATAAGGCCCCCGGCCTCATTGGGTATCTCACAATATCTTAGCCTCCTTGTTATTACTATTGCCAGAGACTGATCCGTTTAAGATACGGCTTGACGACTGGCAATATCTCTCTCTTCGATAACCCTATTAACTCGGGAGGCAGCCCTACCGAAGGTATTCTCTTTCCTCCATCATATAGATTCTGTGTAAAACTCACCTGAGTTGAATGACATAGAATGGGCTGAGTCAATCATTGCTCGGGTTGACTCTCCCATGGCTGTCGTGTCAGCGGAGATTGCTGGCAGTGGTAGGAAAGATGTTGTAATCTGTTATGACTACGGGAAAACTCTGCTAGAAACTAACCCTCACGGGGGAAATATCTCCTGGCTCGAGAATCCCGGGAGGAGTGGCGATGGAAGAGTCAATGATGCATGGACCTCAAGGTTTGTTGGGAGGCGCGAAGGAATGTATCGGCTTAAGGAAGGTTATTTTACCCAGAGGAGTTTTCTTGAGGTTGTTGGCATTCCGAGTAAGTTTTTCCCACTCCCTACGATACCAATACACGTCAGTTTCTAATGTCCATAGTTGTTCATGGAACAGGTGACATTGTATGCTGGCCAGTCTGTCATAGGTTATTGTGTTGCATTCTAATGTGAACAGGAAACACCAATTCCAGTTATCTTGTTTCAAAAGCCGGAGAACCCTCTTAACGCGTGAGTTTCCTACTATCCACAGGACATAAGATTCGTAGATACTAATTCAAGCAGTCTTGAGTGGAGACGAGACATAATCGATGACCAGCATTTTACCATTGTTCATGATGCAGCGCAGAAGAAGCATGAATTATCTTTCTTAGGGTGACGGTACGGGGACTAACCAAAGATAGATTTGATAGCCTCGGTGGCCGCGATTCCTTGTTTGTTGCGTCACGCGAGGGAATAACTTGGCTTTGTATATATCTTCATTGATTATCACTCACTAAACGCTCACTCATGGCTCCATTACAGATTATGAGGACTACCAGTGGAAACTTGAGCGCCTCGCTTCTGGTGTGGCCCAAGAGCCAGGGAACGTTTATTACGGATCTGCATGCGTTGATGTGGCAAAGACCCGTTCTGATCCTGCGGGATATGCTTTGACTCTCGGGCCGTTCCATGGTAAGTTTCCACTAATTAAGGTCAGTGACTACAGCGTGGCTAACCGGTACTAGGGGATACAGTGACTGCCCTTGTGAAAAAGCAGACTGGGCCCAATAGGGATAGGTGGGTTGAATTTGTGCTTGACACCTTTGGGACACCTGAGCAACGTAAGCAACATGGAGAAGGCAAGTATCACATCAATCTCCTATTGACCCCGGCTAACTCTCCCAAGGTCCTGGGCATTACGTTGTTGCTGCAGATTTTGATGGTAAGGTTTTCTTGACTTTTTTTTTGGACTGTTCTCATAGTAGAGCTCTAACCTTTCGCAGATGATGGTGATGATGAGTGCCTAGTTGCGCTTTTTGGACCTTCCCCGCATCAGGTCTATTCCACCGCCCAGATAGAGGTAATTGAGCCACATTCAGCTAACTATTCCAGGGCGTTTACTATTATAAATTGGTCGATGCGGACAACGGCATTTTCGCAAAATGGAAGGTTGCAGAGGAGTCAGCAGGGCGAATTGCGATTGGGTAAGACTCTGTTTGTACCCTTTGTAACTATCCCTGGCTGACTTATATCAGTGACTTCAACGCTTCTGGGAAGGTAGACTTTGCCACAATTGTCTATAATGTACCCGGTCACTTCGAAGGACCGAACCCCAAAGTTCACCTTTACTTGGATTCATTTCCAATACCCGGGGCCAGCGGGCCCGCAGCGAACATAATCTCGACAATATGGGCTGGCGAACCCCTACTTTACCTACCAAAACCGTCTGATATCTTGGCCCACGAGAAGGCATCCCTCCTTGAGATAGCAGGTTACAGAGTTGATTTAGAAGTTCTTCCCCCGAAAGCACAGAAAGCTGCTGGATTTCGAACAGCTGTCAAAGTTTTATATGGCGATTTACTTGACCTATCCAATCCTTCGGTTAATCGCCGGGCCTTGAGTGTGCCCCAATACGAAAAAGAGACTACCAGAATTGGACCCGACTCGATTATCACTACCAGTGAGGGGGCAATCTTCCTGTCTTTCACCCCGGTTTCTGAAGATGGGCCTAAAAAGTGGAAGAACACTCCTGACGTCCCTGTCAAAACATTGTTTCAACCCACATACGGTCAATTGAAGCTTCCGAGTGATTTTAAGTTCGTTAAAGTGGAGGACCTGCCCTGGGGCGGCGGTTTCAAGGGCGTCGACTTTTGGAACCTCTCAGGTGTGGAATTCAGGTTCTTGGACAAGACACCTCTCTGTCACCTGCAATTCTGGACCGCTGGTAAGTGTTTCGCCCTGCCCAATAAAAATTCTGTTAACGAAACCAGGCAAGGCTGTCAGTGCAGGTGTGCACAACCACCAAGATGTAGTATTCCTGGAAGTCCACGTATCCATATCCGCTGGGACTGGCGACGGGGGGATGTGGCGCGTGAAACCTGGTGTTATAGTGGATCCCGAGAGCCCCAATGATGTCCCCCCGGAAAACTTTGAAAAACTTCAGCTCGCTGATTGGGAAGAGCAGGGCGGTTTCTGGGATCGGGATTGCAAGGGTGACCCGATTTATACAGCCAACGGCGCAGTTAGCTATCCGTGGCATAAGTGGCAGGCTGGCAATAAGGACGATTACCTCGACATCTGGGCTGCTGTGGAGTTTAATCCCCATAGAAAGTATTGATAATTTGGCTGGGCTTATTTATACCGCTGGAGGCAGACATGATGGTGGGGCGTTTTCTAGATGGCCATCAATTCTTTCCTAATTAGTTGGCTGCATGTTCTCATTGAGATTCAGTGTTTCTTATTTCAGATTAAAGTGTCTTCTAACTTGCGAAAAATGCAAAAGGGTGTTTGCACGGACTATGAATGTCGACAGGCCAAAATGTGACTAAATAGTTGAGATCTAGTAGAGAATGTGTGACCGGTTATTGTTTGACAGGATGCCCTGTTGTGTCTCCAAATTTAACAGAATTCCCCTCAAAAACAGTTTTATATAATGCTCTTTGTTATCGTGGCATGACATGACAGGAGGTGGCGGCAGATCCCTTCAGCTAGTTGTTCCCATATATTTATACAGAAATTAGTGTTTAAAAATATCTGTACACGTTGTCTTGGTATTATATGTTCATTGAGCTGTTCATTTCTGCAGCTATCACCGATAAAGGAATAGCAATAGCAGGAGACTATAGATGTAACTGGGAGCGGACCACGTGGGCTAGGTTTCTATAGAGAAAAGTTGTAGGCCAGCTACTGCTGCAGTTCAAGGATAACCGGAGAGCTGACGATAAGGAGGCCGGGGGTTTGGGTAATTAGGAGTGGCAGAGAGAGGGAGACAGAAGCTAGAGAATCAGAATTCAACTAAGTCTGATAGATGCTTCTCTAGCCACTGACCTAAAATCTAAAATTCCTACCAACCAGGAAGTCTACTCCTAAGCATATAAAACTTATTACTATTCTTTGGATTAGAGAGTTACCAGCCAGCGTGATCCTAGTAGTTACTAGTGAGTACACTCTGAGTGAAATCCTGAGACACCACCAGAAGCCTAATGGCCTAAGTCCACCATACCAGTACATGTGAATATTTCTTCTCTACTAGTATAAATTCCTGGTACCAAATAATATTGACAGCAACTAATAACAAAAACCTATTACCAGATGCTAAGAAGTGCTGGCAGTAGTGTGAAATCAAATTAAATCAAAGAAAAGCAATAAAAAAATATAGTAGAATACAATATGCGTAGGTAGTATAATTTTAAGAGAATACCGGTATTTGTACTGTACAGTACCTTGTACGACAAAAATGGTGAGCAGAACGGCATATGGCAACCCGAACCATGCTACTTCACGCTTTCAATTCGATACATTCTGAAGTTGTTAAAATACCTCCACAAGCGCTCATAGATTATCAAAAGGTTTCTGGATACTTTAGCATGCAATATTGTAAAGTTGGAGTTGAAAATAGCGTCAAGCTTTGTCATTTCCCATACAAAATCATCAGAAATTGCGCCAAGGCCAATGTATCAACCATAACTCCCTCAATAATTCTTCAGCCAGCTCATACGGAGGGTTCTAAAGGGCCGGAAAGTAAAATCTGGGGAATTGTGTAATATATAGATCAAGATTTGATTTAGATTTCTTCAGTGGATCACTGCTTGGAAGGTGGTGAATATGGCTGTTTTCAGTGGAAAACCCGTACACTGCTCATCATCTTTGACGCTAGCCTCGAACATGTTTTAAGTATGATATAATAGTTTAAGAGTTAATTAAAAAATCACGAAAAAGGGAGATTTTTTTGCTTTCCATGAATAATTGTCGAGTGAGATCGGCGTAGGCAGGGCCTCCGCCCATTCTGGTGTAAATAATCTTTGATAATGGGAGTCTTTTCCGGTTTCGGATGGCTATTTTCCATTTATCTCCTTTTTCTTCTTCTTTCTCTCTTCTCCCTCCCCCTTGCTTTCCTAGTAGTTCAAGTTAGGATTAGTCTATGTCGTCGTGTTTCTTACCCCTCGTTCCCATTATTTGTTAATATCTGTCTCGTGTTTTGTGAATAGCTGAGCACGGCTCGCTGTAGGATAATGTGTAGGAGCAAACAGTTGCCTCCGAGAAGCCCATCGCATATTGGCGAGCGACCGGTTTACCCGCTCCTAGTAGTTTCTCTCGGTACCGCCGAGTGATCGCCATCGATTCCTTTCGCAGACTATCTATCGTACTACGACACTACTGGCAGTTCTTTCACACACCGCACAGTACCGGTATAAATTTACCGGTACTAGAGTACAATGTGAAATGAAACGACCCTGGAGAGAACATTTGCCAAAGAAAACAGGTAGTGACGGGGATTCTATCAAGCTCGTTTTAAGAGGGGCATCATGTTCAATTTGCTGCCGCAAATGGGCACCCTGTCAAATAACCGATATGTGATTGAAGTTAAGGTTCCTCGGAAGATGGTACTGTCACAGGGGAGTGTACGAGGAATGATATTATAATACAAACACTCGTGTGGACGAATGGCAGGGAACCACAATAGATACCTGTCGCCATTGAGGTGATACAATTTATCGGCTGTAAAGGCCTATAATCCCCAGCCCGAAGACAGATAAGGAACTCCATTCCAACACAGAAGCACACCCGGGGACAAGCAGACGTCCTGCAACTTTTGTAAACCGTTCCATAAAAGACTCCTACAGTGCGCTCCCTTTAACATGCTTCTTAGCCCAAATAGTCACCCTTGCTATGCTGACTTACACCAAACATATAATAAAGCACCATCCATTGGTAACGAAATATCATTACAGATCAGTGAAATTGGCATATTGAAGTGGCATATTGAAGTAGTGCTTGCTGGGGCGGGGATGGAAACCAGGGTGGCAAGGTTGTGTGAAAGTTGTAACCCTAGCCCTAAAAATACGACAGGCTTTCCTCCGGTTGCTTACTGTATCAAAACCCGGGAATATGATATGATAATATCATACATACGACACTAGGTAGGAAGCTCACTGGGGTTGAATGCGGATTAAATTTAGGCCCTGGATGGGGAGCTATGAGCTATGATAGTCTGCTCGAGTACTCTTCGATTGTAAACATTATACATTGCATCGCACAATTCGGATCTAATCGAAAAACCCCTCATCTCTAAAGTGCGGGGTTCATCGACTCCGCACCTCGGAACCTCAGACCAGAGGCTCTAGCTACAAGCACCATGTCTACCACCGCCCTTGTGGAGACGGCAAAGCAGCCAGATATAACCTATCACCCGGACCCAATCTCCTACGCCGAGCGCACGAAGCGCATACTGGCAGAAAACCCCGCACAAGTTCTCCCAGCCGGTTTCCCAAGTAAGCTTGAATCAGAACTTGTGTGGGAGGGGAAGGACTTCAAAGATGGCGAATGGATCTACCACCTGACGGAATCCGATGTCGAAGAAGTGAGATTGGCCGTCGCGCAGTTCAAGAGCCAAAAGCTCCCTATAGGCCTGCTCTCCCCGGCGACCTTCCCTCTACCGTCATTCTCCAAGGAATTGCAGAGGCAAGCACGAATCTTACATTCCGGCCGCGGCTTCTTCGTCCTCCGCGGTATGCCGGAATACGCGGGACCTCTCGAGAACACGATTTCATACGTCGGCGTAGCATCGTACATTGGCCCCGTGCGTGGGATACAAGACCCCAACGGTGCGGTGCTAGCACATATAACCGACCTGCGTTCGCAAACCGACAACACGAACGCCATCGGCGCCCCAGCGTACACCTCGGACAAGCAAGTCTTCCACACGGACCCGGGTGACATCATCTCCCTCTACGTCCTCGGCGAAGCCGCCAGCGGTGGCACAAGTCGAATCGCGAGTTCCTGGAAAGTGTACAACCATCTCGCCTCCACTCGCCCCGACATAATAAACACTCTATCCAACGCGTGGCCATTCGACGGTTTTGGCGGCAATCCGGAGGTGTATTACCGGCCCTTGATACACTTCCACAACGGACGGCTGATCAGTCAGTACGCGCGGCGGAAGTTTACCGGGTTCAGAGATTTGCCGAGGTCCACAGACATCCCGCCGATCACGGAGGAGATGGCGGAGGCACTAGACGCGTTGCACTTCACGGCGGAAAGGTTTTCCCTAGGATTGCATTTTCGGCGGGGGGATATACAGTTTATCAATAATTTATCGATGTTCCATTCGAGGGATGGGTACACGGATGATGAGACACACAAGTAGGGCTTTCCCTTCTCTCTTCCCCAAAGCATTGGCATAATGTAAGGAGAGTGATGTGTGCTAATGGATTACGGGGGGGGGGGGGGGTAGGCGACATTTGCTGAGGATTTGGTCGCGCAACGAAGAACTTGGGTGGGATACGCCGGATGAGCTCAAGGGGCTTTGGGAACAGTTGTATTATAGAGGGCTTAAACCTGAGGATCAATTGTTCCCACTGGAGCCGGTGGTTAGGAGGATGGTACCGATTCCTGGGGTTGAAGTGAGTTTCTAGAGCGTTTGGGTGCTGTGAAGATGACCCGCCTCCTTCACAAGTATGGCTAGGGATGCAGGGTCGGGTGTGAAGCTACTGATCAACGATTTATCAAAGTTCCTTGAGCAAATACAATAGAATCCGAGTGATAACACATGAGCTTGTAATCAATTGTGCTCGAACAAGCCGAGACACCAGATAGTACCCAACACAGCTCGCGACTTCCAACAATAAGTACCCTGAACACCACAATCGGTGATCCCCGTGAATGATAATCGGGAACTCCATCCAAATAATCTACACTTCAACGATTAAACGGTTTGTTTTCCAATGACAGGTAAGCACCAAAAGCAGCGTTAGGTTACTTTATCATGCCATGACAGAATGACAGCGCTACCTTGCCTGTATCATAGCATATTTGAGTGCGTGGAGGTAAGTTAAGTTGACCAGGATTGAAAATCTACAATATTTAGCAAAGAAAATCCCCCACACCGAGCGAGCACCCGATAAAGACGGTGGATACTCGAAATTTTGCTTGGGGCGTAATTTATTAGGATTTTTTTTCCCCGTCTTTTTTTTTTTTTTTTTCCCTCTATGTGAGTTCTGGTATACATGCTCAGGGGGATGAAAATCCTATCATACTGCCACGCAAGCACCCCATGAACCTCATCCCTTGCTCTGCGCTTTCTAGTTTCCACAATATCTATCACCCCCAGGTAGATACGTATATACCGCCCCTGGGTAAATTCCTCCTTCACCCTGCCCGTGGGCTTGCCTTACCCCCCCACCATCAATCAGCCTGTGTTCCGTTGGCCCAGCAACTCACAGCATGAAATTATACCTGCACCCGGACATAAGTCTCCAACTGGGGGGGGGCTCAATAGAAGTCAGCGGATGAGGAAAATGGATGGGGCTAGTAGACAGGTATTCCCAGCGCTCCCGGTCGTCCACCCCGCCCAAGGGGATCAGCGCGGCAAAGGGCGAGAATGTCTCGTCTTTGGAGGGACTGGACGGGGCGACAGCGGTCAACTATTGGCTGATTCACCTAACAAAGACACCAAATAGTCCCGCAGCAAGTTAAATTGAAATAAAAAATAAATTAAAAACAAAATATGGGAAAGTCGCAGTCGGACTGAGAGCACTGGGTTTTTCCCTTGTCACCGGGGTGAGCTGTCGTCAACTATGGAGAATTAGTGTGGAATTGGTCAATGCGCTCCGATTGGACACAACTAGCACAGGTTGGGTGCGCTGCGACGAGTTAAAGTAAAGATAGAATGGGACCAATGGGTTATGATAGAGTAATGATGATGATGGTAGAATGTTAACCAGCTAGTGGGAGGTTATGTCTAGAATGTGGATAAGGGGCCAAATATGTAACACTTGAAAAAGTAATTTAAAGAGGGAGAGAAAAACCATTGTTAACACGATGGAACGACGAGAGCTGTATTGCACAGAACATGTCAGGCTGTAGTCCAAGCGGTAAAAGAGCATGGGAAGAAAAGAAAATTTCGCAACAAAAAAAGCCACCAGGATGCAAGGAAAATAGTAGACTACAGAGCAAATAACAGGGGAGTAAAGGAAAGGAAATGAAAAGATCTAACTGCAAGCAGACAATCAACGGTATGTAAACTAGCCCCCTTTTTCAAAACATGTATAAAGAAATTTCAGTTATGCCTCGAAGGGAGAGTGGGTTGAGGTGTGCGTTCTTGAAGTGCTTTGTGTTATGGAGTACCTTCATGATATAAGAAGTGGGAATAACATAAGTAATGTCGAAGCGCAATACACTTTGGGAACCACCAGTGATGATGCCACCAATACGACAAAATGCATCAGCGACACAAGATCCAGAATCCCCAGCATCGGAGAATGCTTCTAAATCCCGGTTTGTAGGAATAACCGGCCACTCCCTTGCCTCCTAGCTATAGCCTCCGAAGTAGGTACGGGTAAAGGAGGAAACCGGGTTAGCGTTGCCAATAGTAGTGCCAGTTTTCGCACCATTCTTGAAAACTACCAAGCATGGCTGATCCTTTGCATCTCGCATGGACGGATTCATGAGCTCGCTTTCAGGTACCTGGTCTTGGAGCTTCACAAGACGGCTGAACGGGAATTTGAAGGAAGGGGGACGGGTGTGGTCCAAATATATCTTCTCCATAAAGTGATGACGTGAGAACTTGTTCCCGAGATTGATAGTGTTGCCACGGTACATAATTGTTCGTGTCCAGCTGGCCTGGGTTGACCCTGATTACGGCTAGGTCAAGGGTATAATGATCGGGTTCAGTGGAGAGACTAATGGGGGGAGCCCATATGAGTGTACCAAATACACGGTTTTCCTTCTGCGCCTATTGTGTGGCAATTTCATGCCGTAAGGCCTTAAGTGCCTCCAGGTTCTCCTCGGCATCTTTCAACTGCTTCACTGCCCTCTCGACTTCCTTGACTAACTTTGAATTCTCCATGCTCGCAGCCAACTCGATCCTCTCCTTCGCATCAGTCATAGCATACTCTTGCCCCGTGATCTCATGATCGATTGCTTCAATCTTTTTGTTGAAAGCGGAAGTACCTAAGATAAGGACCTCTTCCGGTGGCATGCTCTCGTTGTGGCGGTAATATTCTTGGTTATCTAGGGTCTCTTGGGAAAGAACAACAAGCCGGGCAGTAACGAGGTAGATATTCTTATCATTCCCACCAGCACTGATATAAAAGCTACCAGTGCCCTCGGCCCAAGGCCTATTCTTGGCACACATTGGAATGCCAAGGGTGGCTGTATATGGATCACGTGCAGTGAACGTCGAGTCCGAGAAAGGTACGGGATCCAAGAACCTATTGCCAATCTGTCGAATAACGCAAGACTCCCTGATTTCCACATAGCAGTCCCCGATGCCATGACTGTCAATAATACTCTGGCAGTTGGTTGCCACTTTACTACCCTCCTCAAAGCTGAGTGCCCCAAACTCAACTCCAATCCAAGCAATGGCAGGACCCGAAGTCTCTCCAATGCTAGAAATATGAATTGCATCAAGACTAGACCAGTTCTTACCTCTAACAGATTTAGTGAACAAACAAAGACGCCAGCAAGGCTATAGTTATCACCAATTGGCAGTTTTTTTCTTTTCCAATTGCTCCGAGGACTAAGGCCAGTATGGGAAGGACAGGATTACCGGCAGGTCACGATTGGTCTCCAGGCGGGCTATTCCAGCACCATCGCCACAGAGGTGTTAGGATCTTCATCAAGTGGGATTGCTGTAGCAAGGTCCATGTTTATGGCTCCGATTCTCGTGGTTTGTGCCAATTTCTCCGTGGCTGTCCTCCCTGCCTCCTCCACTGTGCTGGTGGTCTCAAAATATTTACACCACTCTGATGTTCCCTGAATTTTGGCTCTGATTTGGGCCACCCGCTGCCATTACGATGTTTTTTTCTAAACCATTTCCTTTGATTTGCATTGATTGGCGAAACGAAAACCTCCTCAGAGCCTTCCATGGTACTTCAAACTCTCTGTACCTTTCACCACTTGCCTTTCTTGGTCCTGCTTAGGGATAGAGGTGGGGCGCAGCAATTCTGGTTTAGCATTCTACCTGGCTCTTCCAATGGACTCTTGACAAGGACACCTTCGAGCCTTATCGAGTTTATTGGCATCTTGGTATTCATGTCGGACATAATTCTATAGTGATATCTGATAATGCATGCTGGGTACTCTCCGCTCGATCAACTGCCAGTGGAACTGGAGTAAAGACTGTGGGATTCAAACCTTGTTGTCCTATTTGCAGAAGTTGATGAAGTCTTTAGAAATATATCTGCCGACCTTGTAAAGTTAATATGAGGATCCATCAAGAAGGAAACTTTCCAACCCACTCTGAAAAGCTTTAAAACATTAAAGCATCGGGTAGTCAATCCCTTTCATCCTCCACAGCCTTTCCCCGTACTGCAAACGCCAGTGCTTCCATCCCTCCCTGCTCCACCTGCCATAGCTTCAACCACCTTATCTCATTCCTGCTCCCAGTTAAACTCCTGCTTTCCTCTCTTCCCAGTCCTATTCTGCAATATAGCAAAGTAAGACAATCTGCTCCCTAAATGACTTACTCCAACCCTCCCTTCTCCTACTCGGCTCTCCTCGATTTCTTTCTCGATCCTTACCACAATCAGAAAAATTGCCAGCCAATGCTCCATGCTTCCGGATACGGGTTCAATGGTGATAATGTAGGTTTCAGCGCAGCTGGTGATTGTGGGAAGGGTGGTGAAGTAGATTTGAAAGCCTATTAATTGTAGCGGTTATGTGAGTTATATTGATGATAGGACAATGTTTATCTTATAATTTACACTCCCCGGGTTTGCCATGAGTAAAAGAAGGTATCATAGATACTAACACTTCTATCAACCCACCTATTGTCCCTGACATCCTTCCCCATCTGCGCCTAATTCCCTCCACAACAGCCCTTGCGCTCTCCATCTTTCCTAAAGTAACAAGTCACCATTCCTGTCAATAATCAACCTCGGCGGAACGGACGCAGTCGCTGCTCCCAATAGAAGCAAACCCCGCATGGGAACAGGTGCTGGATGTAATGTAGGACAAGATGAAGTGTACGGAGTTAGAATTAAAGTAAGTGTTCCATTCCTTCACAGGGCAAATGAGCCTAGCTACCGTGAGAGTAGCCCCACGACCCACATGCTGTCTAGATTTCTTGCCGCTGTTGGGGTGTAAGTTATAACCCCCTTAGGACCCACCCCCCGATATGATGGCAGGAGTAATTTGAGGTCCTGATTCTTTCTACATTGTTGGAGGGGTCCTATATATATATATACACAAGCTGTCCCATTGCGAACATATTCCTTCGTCAATCTCACCGATTTCCCTATCATTTCTCCGCCACGATCCCCATCCATTTCTTCGCACAGCTCCTTCAAACTTCATCCAAAACAGCTCTCTTGGAATATAGCATTACCAAACAGCTCTGTTACCTCCATGTTTCTTCTCCGGATTCCTAACTCTTGTAGTGAGACACCTAGTTGTCTCAAGACCTCCGAAGTATAACCTTCAACCCCCGGTATCCCTAGTGCTAATCTATGAAGCTTCCCAAGCACTTCTGCTCACACTAACTTCTAGTCCATACACGCCCTTACTCACGGG